ACTACCCCAAGGAAACGTCGCATATCTGAAACAGTCTTTGGTTTGGTATAGTTTTGTATAGCGTGGACTCGCTCATCCAACAGCGCTATACCCTTATTATCTATCTTATAACCTAAGTAGTTTACGCTATTTTGAAAAAAATTGCACTTTAAATATTTATTGTTAGTCCATATTGCCTAAGTCTATCAAATATTGCAGGCAGATGTTTTTCATGGGATTCCTTATTTTTAGACGCTATAATTATATCATCTATGTAACAGGCACAGAAATCTAATTTGCTTAATACTATATTCATAAACCTTTGGTATGTTTGCGCCGCGTTACATAAACCGAAAGGCATTACTGTGTATTTGAACAAACCAAAAGGTGTAATTACCGCTGTTTTTTCTATATCTTCCTCAGCCAACGGAATTTGGTGATATGCTCTAGACAAATCTATTGTGGAAAATATATTACAGTCACGGAATTGTTGCGTGACGTCGTGTACATGTGGAATGGGGTACCTGTCTGGTACCGTAACGCTATTCAATCGCCTATAATCTCCACAGGGCCTCCATTCGCCATTTTTCTTTGGTACCATATGCAGAGGGCTCACCCATTGACTCTTGGACGGGCGACAGATTCCTTCGTTGTCTAGTTGCTGAAATGCGGCTTGTGCAATTCGCAGTTTTTCCGGATTTAGTCTTCTTGCTCTCTCTGCTATTGGAGGACCTTTTGTGATAATATAATGTTTCACCGTGTGTCTGATGGGTTTCCTTGAAGTTGGTTTAGTTAAATCTGCGTACTTCCTAAAAAAGTCTAAATACGGACTATTACAATTAATGGTCAAAATGGTTGGAACGTCAATATTTACTAATTCTGCTTTCCTAGAAAGCAATGTATTGCCGTCCAACAATTTTTTGTTTCTTAAATCTGGTAGTAAATTATAAAAATGTAAGAAATCGGCGCCTATTATTGCTTTAGAAACATTCGCTATAATAAATCTTCATGAAAAATCTCGGCGAAATCCAAGATTTAAGTTTAAAAGTTTTTTTCCGAATGTGTCTATTTCTGGACCGTTTGCCGCATATAACTTACACGTATTGTCTTTGGTTTCATTTAACGAAGTACGTGGAATCACTGAGACGTCTGCACCAGTGTCTATTAGAAAACATGCTCCTGTTTTCCTATCGTTTACCATGAGGCGCAGGTTTTTCGTCGCGTCGTCAACCGCCTCTATTTGAGACGCTTGCACTAGTTTTCCGAAGGCTT